TCTTTCCCTTTCCCCTTCCTTTTCCCTTCTCCTTCCCTTTTCCTTTTCCCCTTCCCCTTTGCTCCTCACCTTGGCTGGCAAAGAGGTTCTTCTTGGGCTGGAGACTGCCAAAAGGACGTAGGACCACCTAGAGAGTTAAAAGGATCCAGCCAGGATTTCCTTTAAATAAACAAACAAATAAGAGAGAGAAGGAAGAAATCGGATGGTAAAAGGAAGCAGACGAGTCCTTGCCAGAGCCCAAGTGCAGCCAGGGAGTTCTGCTCTCGGAGAGACAAAGGTAGAGGGGGAAATATGTGATGTTAAGAAAAAAAAAACTTTATTTTAAAGGACACATTAAGCCATAAGAAGTCTCTGAGAGATATTACTTATTTCTGCTTATTAGTGATAATAGCCCAGTAAATTTGCTATTGAGGGTATCAAAGGCATTCAAAGCGACTTTGAAACATCAAAAAGATTGCAGTTCTGATTTTACGGTTCTATTCCAGGCCCGACCTCCTGGCTACATTCCTGGGTTGCAATGTTTAAAAGTGCGTCGCGATCCCCCCGGGCTGCCCCGAGCGGAGGAGCGGGGCCGCCCCGGGCTGCCGAGGGGGTCCCGGCGGCGGCGCCGCGGAGGCTCCGCGGACCGGGGCGGAGGCAGCTGAGGACATGGACCCCTCCCCAGCGGGAGAAATAGAAATAAAAGAAAAAAATAAAAACACCTAAAAGTGCTTTAAAATGATAATAACGAGCTAAATCCAGCTTTACTTCCATCCCGCGGACTGGATCCTCCGCCAGGGTCTCGGCAGGGACGGGGCGGCCGCGGGTGGCGGCCTCGGCGGGGAGCGCTGCTGCCAGGTTTTATTTGTGTTTTCTTTTCTTTTCTTTTTTTTTTTTTTTTTTTCTTTTTTGTCTTTTTTTTTTTTTTTTTTTCTTTTTTGTCTTTTTTTTTTTTTTTTTGGTGCCGCTCCTAAATCCGGAGTGAGACGGCTTCTGCCACCGTCGGGACTTTTGATGTGTCTGTAATTTATCTTTTTTTTTGTTGTTTTTCTTCCCTTCAGTGCTTAATTTTTCCTCCACGTCTTTCTTTTCTTTCTTCACGCATCTCTTGTTCCAGTTAGGGATATTTATAAGAACATCAAAGGAACAACCTAACCTTTTTTTTTCACCTTTTATTTCTTTTTCTTTCTTTTTTACATATTTGTATTATTAGGGCAAATAACAAAATCCTTCATCATTACTGACCGCGCCGCGCGTGCAGAACTAAGCAAGAAACAAGATGCGGAGTCCGTGCGGGTCCACACTGGAGCAACCAAACAGTTGCACACGTAAAAGCCCAGAAATTAAATTCAGCTTGATCCCGATATAAAGGGGGGGAAATAAAAGGCGTTCGCGAGAGAAAAAAAAAACAGGTTCTTTTGAGTGCGTGAGAGAAAGAGGGGAAGAGAAGAGTAGCTGGTAATTATTGAAATATAAGGATGAGATTAATTCAAAGGAAACAAACTATGAA